ATATGGTGTTACCTAAAAAGTTAAAAATTGAACTGCCATTTGACCCAGTGATTCCACTTCTAGGAATATACCCTAAGAAGCCTGAAACACCAATCAGAAAGAATATATGTATCCCCATATTCATAGCAGCACTATTTACAATAGCTAAGATCTGGAAACAGCCCAAGTGTCCATTTATAGATGAATGGATAAAAAAGCAGTGGTACATATACACAATGGAATACTATGCAGCTGTAAGAAAGAAAGATCTCTTATCCTTTGAGACGACATAGAGGGACCTGGAAAGTATTATCCTAAGCGAAACAAGCCAAGCAGAAAAAGACAAATACCACATGATCTCACTTATTTGTGGAATATAATGAACATAACAGTCTGAGGAATAGGGTAGACCCAGAGACGTGGAAGTAGGGTACAGACTGACAACCCTCAGAAGAGAGGGTGGTGGGGGGAGGGAAGAGATAAACCACAGCACTTATATGAATGTACACATAACCAATGGACATAGACAACAAAGCCAAGGACGGGGTGTGGGGGATGGGAGGAGGGTGTCAATGGGGTAAAAAAGGAGAAACATCTGTAACAAAAATAAAATTAAAAATAAAAATAAAATAAGAAGTAAAATAATAACTATACGTATTAAATTTTCACCAGTTCAATAAACTGGAATCCAATAAGGTTTTGTGGATATAGTGTATGACTTAAGTTATGACAACATAATGAACAATCTGCCCTAAGAATGCCTAAATGAAACAGCTAAAACATACACTATAAATGAAAACTTTGCAGTTCCCAACCTTAGGAAAAATCAAAATGAAAATTAAGGGAAACAACTATCCTAGTTAAAGTAGCTCAGTGTTTATTTATAGCTGATGATTAGCAGCTTTTCTTTCTTATTTACAAAAAAAAAAAAATTTTGTATTGATTTTTAGAGAGGAAGAGAAAGGAACAGAGAAATAAAAACATCGACGAGAGAGAACATGGATTGGCTGCCTCCTGCATGCCCTCCAACTGGGGATTTGGCCCACAACCTGGGCATGTGCCCTTACCGGGGAATCGAACCAGCGACCTCTTGGTGCATTGGCGATGCTCAACCACTGAGCCACACCAGCTGGGTGCAGCTTTTCAATTAATACGGTTTTAAATGAATCCCACTTGGCTTTAAATGAATTCCACTTTGGAAACACTCTTTTCTATTTAAAAATCCTAATCCTCAATTACCAAAATGCATTTTCTATTCAATCAGCATTTACTATTTACAGGGCCTAGCACTAGATGTTGGGTGAAGCATCAAGATATTATTGCCCTCAAGATTTATTCTCCAGTAAGGGAAGACAGATATATGAAAAAGAATAAAAGAAACTATAAAGTGAGGCAGAATAAAATCAGTGTCCAGTTTAGACATAACTACAATGTATTAGAACAAATAGCTCAGAAACAGGAACAAGAAATTCCAGTAAGAAGGAAGGAGGTTTTCCCTGGCCGGTGTGGCTCAGCTAGAACCCGGGGACCATGGCTTTGATTCCTGGTCAAGGGCACATACATGGGTTGCAATTCAATCCCTGGCCCCAATTGGGGTCATCTGGGAGGCACCAGATTGATGTGTCTCTCTTGAATCGATGTGTTTCTCTTTCACTCTCTCTCTCTCCCTCCTTCCTTTCTACTCTCTAAAAATCAATGGAAAAAATGAAAGAAAGAAAGAAAGAAAGAAAGAAAGAAAGAAAGAAAGAAAGAAAGAAAGAAAGAAAGAAAGAAAGAAAGAAAGAGAGGGAGGGAGGGAGGGAGGGAGGGAGGGAGGGAGGGAGGGAGGGAGGGGAGAAGAAAGAAAGAAAGAAAGAAAGAAAGAAAGAAAGAAAGAAAGAAAGAAAGAAAGAAAGAAAGAAAGAAAGAAAGAGAGGGAGGTTCAAACACAATTTCTCTCGAGAAGGGGTATTTATGCAGTTTTGAAAAATGAACAAAGGATTAACAGATGAAGGGGAGATGGGAAAGTGGTGCAGGATGAGGAATCAGCAGGAGCAAAGGCTGAGGTATGAAAGGGCAGGATTGGCATCCCTAGATCATGTGCAGATTGGCATGGTGAGTGTGAGGCATGGGCAGGGAGGGGCAGAGAACAGGTGAGAGAAGCAAAGGTAGGATGGGGGATTTGAGTGCCATCCTAAGTAGGGAGTGTAGATTTTACTTTCTGGTAACTGAAAGTACTAAATGTTCATGAGGTGTAGTAACTCTGGTGGTGGTGAGATAGGCAGACATCAAAGCAGAAAAGCAGACACAGTAAGATCCCTGTGATGCTTACAGAAACGGTCCAGACTAGAGAACAGTGGCTTCATCAGCCTCTTCTCTCTGAAAACAGTGGGCCTTTTTCCCAAAGTTCTATTTGTACTAATGGTCCCATTTGCCTCCCTTCTCTCAAGGATTCTGCTTTTCTTGTCTGTTAGTCTCCTCCCACTGATCTGTAATTCACTGAATCTTTGCCCAAGGCCTCTAGACAAATGAAAGTTTTCCCATTACTTGGAATAAGAAAATGTTTATCTGTAACAAAAATTAATCAATAATAAATAAATTAATTAATTAATTAAAAAAATGTTTAACTTGCTTTTGCCTCAAACTTCCATCCCATAATCTTCCTTAACCATCAGCCTTTCTTAGAAGAAATGGCTACCCACATTGTTCCCACAGCAACACTGGACAAGTCCGCAATGCCTTCAGTGTCTTTCTACCCATCATTGAACTGAAACAAGCTGCACTCTCACAGGCCACCAGCTGGGCCTCCGTAGTAACAGAAAGACAATACAGAAAGCGTAAGTCAAGTCTACTATATTTTTCAATAACTACTCTATGTTGGATCCTGCATCCTTCATTTAAAGATGGCTGCTAAAAAACAGATGGTTCACACCTGGCCAGTGTGGCTCAGTGGACTGAGTGTAGTCCCATGGACTGAGAGGTCTCTGTTCGATCCTGGTCAGGGCATATGCCGGGGTTGCAGGCTCAATCCCCAGTAGGGGGCGTGCAGGAGGCAGTGATTGATGTTTCTCTCACATCGGCATTTCTATCTCTCTCTCCCTTCCTTTCTCTCTAAAAAAATAAAAATAAATAAAATGCTATCTGTCAAAAAAAACACTTAAATAAAATAAATAAAAACAGATGGTTCAGAAAAATAACCAGTACATTAAGAGGAATGACTAAAGGGGAAGATTCCATAACTCGATAAGATGAAAACTTGTGAAAAGCTGACCTGAAGCAGTACAACTTCATGTAGGGTTGAGAGTTTGGTGGATGAACAAAATGTAATCTCGAGGTATGCATTCTCATGGGCTGACCAGCCAAGGATCAAAGTATGCATATGAATAGATAAGGTATGCATGTTAGTTTTGGAAAACCACCCTGAAAGTATTGATCAAAGTATGCATGGTAAGGTCTGAAATGCCACCCTAAATGTACAGTATAGATGTAAATAGATAAGGTATGCATGATTGCCTAGAATGCCCTGAAAGCGCCCAATGGGCTTATCGCCCAAGTGTGAATGTATTTCTTATGTATCTGCACTGAAAACAGCCAGAGACAGCTGAAACAGGAAGTATACTGGGCTTAGCTGTAAGGTCAGCAGAGATGCAATCTCAAGGACTTAACTACCTAAAACACCATGTAACCTAGGGAACCACTTTGCAAGTAAGTTAGGCTGCATCCAGAGATCCGGAGAATTTGCTCCCTGGCGATGCTCCCCCTCTTGGAGGTTATTGAGTTGCAACAACCCCCAGCAGGCTGAGAGAGTCGGCAAAATGGGTCAAAAGAATAACCAGTACAATAAGAGGAATGATTGAAAGAGAAGATTCCATAACTTGATAAGATGAAAACTTGTGAAAAGATGACCAGAAGCAGTACAACTACAATTTAACTATTTGAGAGATCATTAATGTCGAAGAGAACTTAAGCAGGTAGAAGCAACTGAATTGCTTATTACTTGGGAGTATAAAAGGCAGAATTCAGTGCGATACAAGGAAGTACATTTGAGTAATCATTTAAGAAACCTAAAAATGTTTATAAAGAAATTGATGACTACATGCCTGAATTCTCTGAAGCTTTAATATTTGGAATGTGGTCCATGGATAGGAACTTGAGCATCACCTGGGAGTTTGTTAGAAATGCAGACTCCTAGGCCCCATCCCAAACATTTAATCAAAATCTGCATTTACCAAAATTCCCTGGAGATTCCTTTGATAGTCAAGTTTGAGAAGCACTGGTTTAAGGGAGTCTTGAAATTAGATATAAGAGGAAGTGAATTAGTTCTTGTGGTTTCCTTCCAAATATTAATTTATGGAAAACAAAATTCACTATTCTAGAGATCTTAAATTTTTTCCATCTGCTTCCCGCCTACCAGGTCAAAATACTGTTAATTGGTTTCATAGCCTCACCTTTCAAGCATAGTTTTTTAATACTTTGAACAATAGCCAAAGCTTATGCAAACATTTCAAATGTTAATTTGTATTATTAATGTAATTCTTTTATTAGAAACTGATTTAAGTTAGCTTACATGGTGTGTTTACAAGATGGCATTAAACAAACTGGTGGAAGAAAAATGTTGCAGAAGGAAAATAAGTGTAGAAAAGAAAAATGGATTTCTATGGCTGGTATTTAAAATGTATTATCATGATTCCTAACCACTTTTTAATGGACAGTTAAGTTTGATTCCAAATTTTCTATCAGCCAGCTCAATAGCACGATATCTTCTAGAATGCGCGTTTAGAATGCCATGATTAATGATCCTAAGCAACGTATAAAAGACTCCACTAAATATATTCAAAATGTTGAATGCAAGATTTATGTTTTATACTGAATTAATTTTAAGACTTTCTATTTTGTATTTTGAAATATTTTAATGAGTTACACTTATTGGTATAAATACATTTTCTCTTCTAGACTAAACAGCAGTGACTCAGGTTGGTAAGTGGTAAAGAGACAATCACATCAAAAACAAGATTTCAGAAAGGGAACAAAATGAAACTTACCAAATAGATTTCCTAAACTTGCATCCATTTTTATTTCAAATACTTGAGAAATAACATAAAATGTCAGTAAAAATACTGCCACAGCTACCACCAACTTTGCAGCACCTAGATAAAGAGCAGAAATGAGCTTATGAGCCCATAGAACTTTTATTATATAACATTTCAATGAAATGTGTAAGTTTATTAAAAAGTTTTAAAACTAATAAATTTTTACTTTTTATGTATTGAGCTTAATTTAACATGTGTTACAATAAAAACTGTACCAACTATCCATTAAGATAAAGGATTTTCCTGATCAAAGAATTATCAGACTGGCTAGCAATCTAGACAAAGAACTGCTTGAGTCATCTGCTTAAATTTAGATAAAAAACAAAACAAAATCAAAAACCTGCTATCAATTTGTGGCTGACTACACAAAAGTATCATGGCTAATGGAAGACTGCCTGCCACAAAGTATGCTGGATGATCCCTTCCATTCTTTTCACAAATAAGGGGCAACAATACTATACAGAGATGACACCAAAACACTGGATCTTCTGGAGCTACTGAAGCAACAGAGCAAGGAGTTCTCCAGTGAAATGTCCTATCATGAGTGCTCCTGGTTCAGTGTGCAAAAAAGTATTCCTGCTCTTCCTTGATCCTTAGTTTAAGACAGACCTTCTCCACTCCTGGGCAAGTTCATCTGGCAGCTATCCCACATGATTCACAATGTGGTTACAGGGTAAGCTCCATGAAGACAGACTCTTAGTCTTTTACACCTTTATATCTTTAACCATTTCTGAATACCTTACAAATATTTAGCACTGCTATCAACTAATTCACTGCAAGACAGGAAAGGAAATGGAAAGTGACAGGGAAGAAACATCTTCCTCTCACCCATAGGATTTCAGAGCATCTCATTAGGTTATTCAGGGACAATGTATTTGTCTGTTTAATCTCCATTACTCTCTTACCAAGTTTCATTTATATCTATATAAAAGAGGTAGACAGGATTATCAGTTATCTCATTCTCCTTAAGGAAACAAAGGTACAGAGGTGAAGTGACCACCCAAGATTACAGATAATTTGGTGGCAGCGTTAGGACCAGAATTCAGGGATCCTGACAGGGCCCAGTGTTGTGTACAGCACTCTATCCTAACACCGAATGTATGCATTGTCCCAAAACACTACTAAAATTCAACTTATTGGCTATAAAAATAAAACAAACACTATATTCCTTCTAATTTCATAAACCTAAAGATATGAGGACTAATCGTTAAGAGGAGGGAAGGGGCTCTGGCCGGTGTTGCTCAGTGATTAGAGCATCGGCCTATGTACCAAAGGGTCATGGGTTCAATTCCTGTCAAGGGCATGTACCTAGGTTGCAGGTTCAACCCCTGCCCCAGATGGGGTACGTGGGGGAGACAACTAATCAATGTCTGTCTCACACTGATGTTTCTCTCTCTCTCCCTTCTACTCTCTCCAAAAATCAATGGAAAAAATAACTTGGCAGTGGTAGAACTGAGTCTTAAACTGTGACATATGCCCTTACACTGGACAATCAGAGGAACTAGGAGGACACAAAAGCTCTAAGAAAGAAAAAAGAGGTGGAGAAACCAACTGGCAATAGAACAAGCAGATGCTCCCTGAGAGGAGTAGGCAGGTGAAGGATAGCAGAGCCTCCATATGGCAGAATTCTGGAATGTCTGTTACAAAGGGTCTCTTCCAGAGCTGGCCACCATCTAATTCTGAACTTGGAGGGGCCTATCCATGCCATGCCATTGTTCTCATTCATAACTTTCCATGAGATTCCCTCCTTCCTTCTATGAACTGCACTAACCTAACAATAGAGTGTGTCCCTATTTTTCATGAACAAAAAAGCATAAGCTTTAGACATTGATGCTTCACTATATTTCAAAGCAACTAGAATTTTTTTAATTAGAAAGGATTAATTAATTAGTTTAAAAGCAATAAACTAATAGCTAATCTTCCTTATACACTCGCTGAAAGCAATACTCTGAAAAACTACAGTAGGAACCGCACTAAACATAAAAATAAGCATTCAGTGAATAATTACCATAAATTAGCCTTGGTAGTAACTGTCAAAATCAGAGAAATGGACTAGATGACAAAGTTCATTTCAACTAGAATGAAAGTAGAATTATGTGAGAAAGGGAAACTTATTTGATTATTTCATATAACCATGCTTAATTAAATAATGTACTTTTTTTTTTTACCTGTCTCAATCTTTTTTTATTTCTTTAAATTTCTGTTACAGATGTTTCTCCTTTTTCCCCATTGACACCCTCTTCTCCCTCCCTCCCCACCCTGTCCCCAGCTTTGTTGTTCATTTCCATTGGTTATGCGTACATACATGCAAGTTCTGTGGTTTATCTCTCCCCCCCATCACCCCCTCTTCTGGGGATTGTCAGTCTGTATCCTACTTCCACGTCTCTGGGACTATCGTATTCATCAGACTGTTATGTTCATTATATTCCACAAATAAGTGAGATCATGTGATACTTGTCTTTCTCTGCTTGGCTTATTTCACTTAGGGTAATACTCTCAGGTCCCTCCATGTCATCTCAAAGGATAAGAGATCTTTCTTTCTTAGAGCTGCATAGTACTCCATTGTGTATATATACCACAGCTTTTTTATCCATTCGTCTACTAATGGACACTTGGGCTGTTTCCAGATCTTAGCTATTGTAAATAGTGCTTCTATGAACATGGGGGTACATATATTCTTTCTGATTGGTGTTTCAGGCTTCTTAGGGTATATATAATGTACTTTTAAAATTATCTGGAAATATGTAATCATAGTCCTGCCATATTAAAAGATCAATATTTTCATTAAAAAAAGACATTATAACATGGTTTTTAAAACCACAAATAAGCTTTTGATTTCTGGAAATATTTTTCTTCAGTAATTATATAACTACTCAAAAAGGAATGGTTTTTGTCAGTTAATGACCAAGATATCTAGATTTTCAATAATCATGTTTAATAGTCATGATGTTAAATTACCTGTACTTGCTTCTGTATAATTATGCCTGAAGCAAGAAGACTTGTTTGCTCACCCACCTTGATTTTAGTTCTTCTAAGAAATGCTCCCATAGAAAAATATTGTGTTTGCTGGTGAGAAGATGATAATTAAAAGAAAGACTATCTTGATTTTGAGAAATTACAAGTTATCTCCAGTTACTTATGGATCTGTCTTTTTATAATGTTTAAGGATAACTACCTTAATACTATGAACATCAAGGGGTGTTTTTCAATTTCCTCAATATGCTGCCTAAGGAACAGATGTCCTTATGCATAATCTCATTTAGGCAGATTGAACTTGAACTAGCAAATACAGAGTGGAACAAAAGTAGGTTTACAATTATTTGTATAGAAAATATACATTAATTAATAAATAATTATACAAGAATAAACTTTGTGTTTCATGTACTCACAACTGGAAACATACTTTTGCCCCAGCCTGTACATAATCACTTCAGCAAAAACACATTTTACTAAATCCTTTACATACACTAATTTTAATTTATGCACATATATTGAAAAAATTTAAGCTTTTAAACTTTACAGTTCATTTTCCTCAATAAGCTAGAACTTAGCAAAAATAAAAATCAGCCCTCAAGGCTGTCAAATTGTTCTTTATATGAACATTACCTATGTGTTATTTTTTTTCTTTATTGATTTTTTAAAGAGAGAGGAAAGGAAAGGGAGAGAGAGATAGAAATATTGATGAGAGAGAACATCGATTGGCCGCCTCCTGCATGCCCCCCACTGGGGATCAGGCCCACAACCTGGGCTTGTGCCCTGACCGGGAATTGAACCAGTGACCTCTTGGTGCATGGGTCGACACTCAACCACTGAGCTACCCCAAGTGAGCACCTATGTATTATTAGGTAAATAAAGTTAATGTTTAAGACCATGAACATTAAAACCATGACCAAAATATTTAGCATAAATAATTTCAATGAAAGTGTCCCCAAACTTTTATGTAACACCCACTAAACGCCCAATTTGTGATGTGTCAACTACATAAAAAAATAAAGAAGCTGAATAATGATGTAGCTTGTGATATTTCAGTTTTGCATTCGATATAGAAAAGGATTATATACCCTCTCCTTTAGTCATTACTAAACAAACAGGTTACACAAAAAGCAAGATTATTTCTAACGAACTGACATATTTATCTTACCTGCTACCCTCATATTTGGTTTTTCAGTCTTTGGCACGTTTCATTAAATAAGCTCCTAAAATCAAAAGAAAAGGCAAACACCATTAGGTCTAGAAGGAGCATTCCTCCTCACACTGAGTTTGGAGTACATTTATTAAATTAAGTGTCATGAGATTTCTAAGCATTCTACCAATATTGACATCTACTAAAAAATTCATCACTGGGTCTGTCTCCTTCCACTGGACCATAAAAGCTACTGAGAAGAGAGTCATGTCTTCCACTGCTGTGCCCTCCTGCTCCCAAATGAATGAACAAATGAGGGGAAAACCACCGTCAAGTTTGTGAAGATAATGCCTTATTACTCTCAGTGATTATGCATCCATAAGGAACATTGGATATTTAGTTCCAAACTTCAGTCTGCAGTTGAGGTACAAAGAAGTTAAGTTGCTTTTCCAGTCATGGAACAAATTAATTGTAGAACGAGACCAGCGTAGGACTGCTGGCTCCCACTCCAGGGCTCACTCCACTATCCGATGCCACTTCTTTTAGTGTGACATCATTCAGATGTCACTATGATAAGTACTTATAGCAAAGGCTTTTTACTTTAATACCAGGGTTCTCTTCCTCTTTGTTTAAATTTTTTTTTTTTTTTTGTATGTGCCCCTAGTGGGAACCAAACATGGGACTCTCTGGTCCGCAGGCCGATGCGCTAACCGCTACACCAAACTGGTCAGAGTTGTTTAAATTTAAGTTTATAAAGGAATATCTTCAAAAGTACAGAATTACAATTTTAAATATTTCCAGCAATTACTGACAGTGTATGTTATCCATCAATGAAGAAATTACCCTTTTGTATTATCCTAATAACAAGAAATAGATATGGGGTGGGGGGAATCTGTATATGTGGATTTCACTTCTAAGAAGTAACTCAAGATAGGTAAAATTTTTAAAAGCAAATAGAAAAGCAAGTAAATCCGTTTGACAGAACATTTTTATTTATTTATTTTTTTTTTATCCTCACCGGAGGACATTTTTCTATTTTTTGTTCAGGTAGAGTGGGAGGGAGAGAGAGGAACAGAGAAAGAGAGAGAGAGAAACATCGATGTGAAAGGAACACATCGAGTGGCTGCCACCCGCACAACCGACCAGGGCCGGGGACAAACTGCAACCGAGGTACGCGCCCTTAGCGGGAACCGAACCCAGGTCTCTCAGGACCGCAGGCCAACGCTCTAACCGCTGAGCCAAACCGGCCAGGGCTGATAGCACATTTTTAAAAGCAAACAAAAAAGCAATGAGATCAAGAGGAAATTCATGCCCCAAATAAGCTACACAGCTACTGCACTCTACTCAATCTACTCTACAGAAATGGAATTCAGGAAACAATTTTGATTAATGAATCATTAATCAAAAAGATATTTTTATTTCAGACTGTATTTTCATACCGATGTTTTGATGAGAAAGTCTGATCTAATAATATATACATTCTGCTTCAAATAAAAATAATGCCCCACCCCTGAAGGACACTGGAAGGAAGGGAGAGGACATCCAGTTTTCTTTTTCACCCAGGAGTAAGCAGGGGTGAACATCCAAAGGGTCAATGCTCTTATATAAACTCTCTTTCTTCTGCCCAATCTACCCCATTTTAAGAAAACATCAACACTTGAACTAATGCTGCTTTGAGCATTATTGATTTATTGTCCTTTGTTAGATATAGGAAGTCAATGTTCTACAGCTATTTAAACTAACTACTTAGCCAGACTTGGAAAACACCAAAAGGAAAGAAGAGATTCTGAAGTATCCACAAACTATTACATAAAAGCATAAAAACAAAAAACAAAAACCCTCGGCTTTTCACACGAAAAACCCAAGTGGTTACAAATCCTTTTTTTTTTTTATCCTCACCCAAGGACATTTTTCCACTTTTTGTTCAGATAGCGTGGGAGGGAGAGAGAGGAAGAGAGAAATACCGACATGAAAGGGACACATCGAGTGGTTGGCCCAACGAGGGCCGGGGACAAACTGCAACCGAGGTACGTGCCCTTAGCGGGAACTGAACCTGGGTCTCTCTGGACCGCAGGCCGACGCTCTAACCGCTGAGCCAAACCGGCCAGGGTTACAAACCCTCCTTTGACTTCTAGCAATATGGACTCTGTTCACAACACCCACATGCCTTCTTTCCAGCTGGTATTCCAAAATAGCTTCACTCTTATCTGAGAGTGGCCTAGGAAATTTCTTTGAGAGTGTGATAAGCAGTTGGGCAGACACTGACCTTTTCACTGTTTCCATGACTTGCTGAGGGTGCCACACCTGTACAATTAAAGCCACTGCTTCATATACCTGCCATCTCTCTGCACTACCTAACAAGCCTGCTTCTAAACTGATCACTAGTAGGACCACAATATAAGCAACTACCATTGTCTCGCTGAATTCAGGTTTTCATTAAATTTCACAGAGAATAACACTTAGTAAAGTCTCTAACTTAAAAATCTCATCGAATTTCAGTCTTAACACATTTTTTAAGTAGTTTGGTTAAGAAGCAAATTAGTTTTGTAAAAGTGTAAATCAGCATAAGGAAGGACAATTGAATATATCTGAGAGCAAATCAAGGAACATCTGTTTACAATGTGCCAATTTCAAATCATTCCTAACTTGTCTTCTTAGGAGGACATTTAAAAGGTCTAGAAAAATCGCCCAGCTGGTGTGACTCAGTGGTTGAGTGTGGATCCATGCACCAAGAGGTTGCCAGTTCAATTCCCGGTCAGGGCACATGCCCAGGTTGTGGGCCTGATCCCTAAGGGGGGCATGCAGGAGGTGGCCAGTTGATGTTCTATCTCATTGATGTTTCTATCTCTCTCTCTCTCCTTCTTCCTTCCTCTCTCTGTAAAAATAATAATAAAAAAAAAATTTTTTTAGGAACATCATGCCCTGGTCAGGTAGACAAGTTGGTTAGAGTCATTCCCATTTGTCAAGGTTGGGAGTTTGATTCCCAGACAAGGCACATATAAGCAAACAATGAATGAGCAAATAAGTGAAACAAGTCAATGGTTCTCTCTCTTCCTCTCTAAAATAAATAAACAAACAAACAAATAAATGAATGGATGGAAAAATCATTACATATAATCATTTTAGGAGGGGGGAAAAAACAAAAACTTAATAGGATGTTGTACAAACCTGAGGCTGAAGCTCAGATAGAGACTGAACAAGTCCAGAGAAAATGAATACAACCCTAAAAGGGTAAAGAGGCCTCTGCTAGAAAATCAAATCTCTTTAATCTAGAAGCTACAGATATAAGAATGTATAATTTTCTTATATGTTCACTAAAAGGTAGAGATATAGAAATTAGATCCATTGCCCTGGCTGGTTTGAATCAGCGGTTAGTGTGTAGGCCCATAGGCCAAAGGGTCTCGGATTTGATTCTGGTCAAGGTCACCTCGGTTGCTGTTCAGTCCCTGGCCCTGGTTGGGGTTGTGCGGGAGGCAACCAATCAGGGTGTCTCTCTCATATCGATGTTTCTCTCTCTTTCTCTCTCTCCTCCCCTCCCCCTCCCCTCACTCCCTCCCTCTCTATCTGAAAATAAATGGAAAAAATATCCTCTGGTGAGGATTTAAAAAAAAAAAAAGAAATTAGAACCACTTGCCAAAACTACTAGAATATTGGTGGTATGGGACACTATTTTTAGGGCAGATTATAAGAACAAAAACACAAAAAACGACGTTGACAGTACATTTGTAAAAACACATATAGGACAAAACAAGTTTCAGTATTTTAGATAAATGATTGAACCAAATATGGTTGCTAATATGTAAAGCGCACAGTCTGCTGAGCGTCCACAGCAAGGAGGGTTACCATGACAACCTTGGGCAGTAGACATTGTTCTGAATAAACACTAATAAAGAATGTGACCTAGCCCTAGCCTGAAGGAGAGAGCCTAAATTAGGGTCTCAAAGTGACATACTGGAATGCTTTGAATATCTTACACTTTACACACTTCCACTAGCCCAATCATCTATTTTAGTCTTATTTAGGGAAGTTTTGTGAAAATCAGGTCTGAATATGCAAGTATCGTTCCAGAATCAACCAACCTCAGGAAAAACAGATAAATACAAAGGTCAATTGATACTTTCATTTTTTCCTTCAGAAATGGACTCCAGCTATAATGTGAATTACAAGAACACCATTCTACATAAACAAAATAAGCCATAAAAATAACCACTTACCACGAGAGGAACTGGCAGTTAGCATAAACCAGGTAATAATGCATACGTAGCAGAGTGATTCATACACATTCTTATTGTATGTAATCCTCCCAAGAGTCCTCTAGTGAGTGGGGTATGAGGATGGCATTATCGATGAAGTGAAGGCATTTGTCACATGAAGAGTAAAAAGCTGAGAGACACACCCACTTCCCTTTCACCCCAGCAGCTCACTGACACTCTAATGTAAGGAGCTTGTTGACAAAAATCCATGCCAATCACCCAGGCTGGTATTGCTCAGTGGTTAGAGTGACAGCAATGTCGAATCAACTGAGTGACGTCTATATGATTCTAATATTCATGTGAACAGGAGCTTTTCAAGAGGACTAAGATAAAGGTCAAAGTACAAGCAGATAGATTTAAAGTACACTGAGGCCCAGTAATTGTGTCAACTTGACTGGGCCATGGGGTGCCCAAATATTTGGTTAAATGCTATTCTGGGTATGTCTGGGAATGTGTGTGGGCCTCACTCATCCAATCTGCTGGAGGCCTGAACAGAACTAAAAAGTCTGAGTAAGGGAGAATTTGCCCCGTATGCAGTCTTTAGCTGGTATATCAGTCTTCACCTGCATTGAGACTTGGACTGAAACTGACACCATCAGTTCTCCTGGTCCTTAGGCCTTTGGATTCAGATTGGAACTATCCCATTAGCTGTCCTGCTTGATTTCTCAGTCTCCACAACTGCATGAGCCAATTCTTTATGATATCTATTTATTCTATCTATCTATCTATCTATCTATCTATCTATCTATCTATCTATCTATCATCTATCTATCTATCTATCTATCTATCTATCTATCTATCTATCTATCTCCTATTGGTTCTGTTCCTCTAGAGAACCCAGATTAACACAGAACCCCTCCTCAAAATTAGAATGTAAAAGATTAAATTTTCAGTCCCAGAGCAGTTCAAAAAAGTGATAATACTGACATCAGAAAAGGATGATGCAACTAAGTCACTAAATCGCTTATTCTGATTTTACATAGAAACAAAAGTATGTTATTAAAAAATTACTTGCATAAAATACATTTATGTGAATAAAATAGAGCAACTGTACACAAACTTGTTCTGTAAAGCCAGGTGGAAAATATTTTAGGCTTTGTGGACCATACAGTCTCCATTACAACTACTTATGCCCTGCATTGTAGCTAGAAAGCAGTCATAGACAATAAATAAGCCAAAGAACCCAGCTGTGATATAATTAAACTTTATTTATGCATACAGAAATTTGAATTTCATAAAATTTTTATGCTACAAAATGTTCTTTCGATTTCTTTCAATCACTTAAAAATATAAAAACCAATTTTGGCTTGTAGGTTAGACAGAGCCCACTGATTGTAATTTGCTAACTTGAGATAGAGAAATAAAAAAATAAAATTGAAATTTAAAAATATTTTTTAAATAGAGGAATAAACTTTGCTGACCATATCCTTATATTCCAACATTTCTTGCTGGGCGATTTGCAAGACACACAACCGCCACAAGGCTTCTATTGGTCCTCTTACAAGTACTGCTACAGAAAGAAGCAGGTCAGATAAATAATCCTAAACTCTGTGTTCTATGAATGTTCATTTTACATGTTCATAATCAACTACTCTCCATGAAAGAAGCATATGCTCCATGAGAAACAATTATTCTTCTTCAAAAAGAAGGGAAAAAATCCTTCCCTTCCTAAAATGAAGCTGTCCGTCCATCTACAGCAAAGATGGAAATACATCTAGGTTCTGAAATGTTTTCTGAAGCCATCACAGGAGAGAGATTTTTTAAAAAAGGATAAAAATTTATCTTATTATATCCCATTTCATTAACTGTAAAATTACACTGGAGAGGAGCGACCGACACTACTGTTTTCTTTACACATGTATTTAAAAGTGATTATTTTTGTGATGGGCTTAAAAAGGAGGGAGGGGGTAACTGTGCAACTGAAGTTTAAAATTCCAAATATTTACCTTTAGAAAAGCCTTTTCAGAAATGAAAAAAAAAAAAGTTATCACTACAGTAGATGCAGACTGCTGTCAAGTACCCTGCTTTACCCAGGTGCCACCAAACTAATGGCTTGCCAGGCTGGATACATTTTGAGATTACAGAATGAAGAGGGGTGAGAAGGTTGCATTCATTTGAAAAAAAAAAAAAAACACAAAAAACCTGAACATTTAACTCAGTATGATACCTGAGTTGCTTTTCATTTATAAATACTATAAATTTAATAAAATTTGGTGTCATTAATACTAAATGCTTAACAGAAAAAATCCAATTACTAACTTGAAAAAGTATTTGAGTACTAATAGAAGACTGATATTAAATCCTAAAAAAGGATTTTTTAAAAATCTACCATTTAGCCCTAGAAAGTAGTGCAGTGGTTAGGGCATCAGCCTGCAGACTAGAGTCGCGGGTTCGATTCTGGTCAAGGGAATGTACCTCAGTTGCAGTTCGGTCTCTGGCCCTGGTCAAGGTCATGTGGGAGGCAACCAATCAATCGATGTGTCTCTCATATCGATGATTCTCCCCCCCGCCCAACTCTATTTGAAGATACAGTAAATGGAAAAATATCCTCAGGTGAGAATAAAGAAAAAAAAAAAAATCTACCATTTTAACATACACATTATATACCTTTGAAAAGTAAGAATAGCCTGATAATGAAAGGGAAAACTTTTAAATGACTACCTAACAACTAGAAAAATACCTCAGGTTTTTAAATGACTAACCTAACTTTACATTTTGACTAGAAGAAAAAAGAAGCAAAAACCAAAGTCCTTTTCTTTTTTTCCTTCTTAAATTTGGAAAGGGAAAGAGATCTGCGTGAAGTCTATAATGCCAAGAATAACTACTTAAAAAAAATAATGGAGGAAAATATAAATGTATCCACTCCTTCTGCAAAGACTCCTTCAAAATGGTGAGACTGCAGCACATCAAACCCTTTTAGTAAGGGCTCAACAGAACCAATACATAAATCTTTTAGAATAAAATTTTGATGTTCTACTAAAAACCTTGAAAAGAGAGGGATATGGTTTATCTATGCCTGAATTTTTAAATTATCTGAACTAGTATGAAATGGCCTTTCTTATTAGCATCATATTGATGTTATATTTTAAAAAGGATTAATGTCTAAATGTGACTATTTTACAGGATTAAAAGTATACAAAATCACAAATGAGCCAGAAAGTGGTTTTAACCCCAGTCCCCCAACCCCCACCACTGAGAAAGTTAACTAATGCTTGATATAAAACCTACTGGGATTGTACTGGGTGGATTTTGGCTTTTCTCCACAGTCCACCATAAATAGCTGTGTGTACATTTGTCATTGAGTCAGCTCTCACTCCTGGTGACCCTATCAATGAGTGATGTCCACAATGTCCTGTCCTCAACAACTGTTCAGCTCCTGTAGACTCGTGCTCATGGCTTCTTTTATACTTGGTCTTCCTCACACTTGGTCTTCCAATTAACTTCCAGGTGACTCTTTCCGAATTATCTAAAGAGCCCACCACCAGCCCCCACAGAATACCAGGTGCCTCTGTTTCTGGCTTACACGTGATCTTTCCGGACAGATGGCCAAAACTAATCCTAGAGAGCAAACACTTCTTCCTTAGGGAGTCTGCACCTATTCCAGAACTAGCTCCACCTCACCTTCTCCCACCTCCTTTTATCTGTCGTTCTTTCAAAACGACTTACATCTTTCTTCCCCAAACTCTTAGCATAAAAGAGCTCCATTAACTCCAGAACTAGGGACGTGTCTTCTCCACCTGGCTGCTGCTGGGGGCTCAGCCTGCTTGTCCCAGGATCTGGTGATTTCTCTGGCTAGCATTTGACTCAACCCGTCCTTTTAGGAAAGCTTTTGGCCATGAAAATTTTTGTGTAACAGTTACCCCTCTCTGCACTGAGAGTGGGGTACAGTTGGTTGAAGCAGAGCACTGGCATGATTTAGCAGGGTACATTTGCTAACGATTTTTTTTCTTACTTGATTTTTAGAGAGAGAGGAATGGAGAAGGACAGATAGAAACGTCGATGAGAAAGAGCATGGATTGGTGGCCTCCAGCATGCCCCCCAACTGGGGAGTTGGCCCACAACCTGGGCACGTGCCTGGCCAGTAATCAAACTGACAACCTTTCAACGCTCAACCACTGAGCCACACCGGCCAGGCTGCTAACGATTTTTTAACCGGAGGTACAATATGGTACTTATGGATCTTTTATTTGATCTTCCTCTTTTCCTGCTGCCTTCAATTTATCTCAACATTATTTTTTCCAAAGACGCCAGCCTTCTCATGATCTGCCCCAAGTAGGACAGCTCCGGTTTTGTCATTTTTGTCACTCACCTTAATTTGCTCTAGAACTCACTTGTTTTTCTGGTGGCCTAGGGTATCCATAGAGCTCTCTCCTCTAACATCATATTTCAAATGAATCCATTATTTTCTTTCAGCCTTTTCACTGTCCAACTTTCAAATCCATATATGTAGCTGAGAAAACAAGAGTGTGGATAATCTTAGCTATGCCTTTTTGGGGTGCGGGGTGGGGTTCTCTTACCAGAGAATGCAGAAAGTAAGTAACATTTTAGAAAGCTTTTGTCTGATCTACAGCAGGTAGATAAAATTCCATCCTTTTAATAATAACAGCAGGTAGTTACAATACCATCTTGTACCTCCAGTTACAAATTGGTTTGCAAAATACCCTGTTAAATCATGCAAGTGCCCTGCTTAGAACAACCGCCCTCATTGTCTCAGTGCAGAGAGATAAGTGTTACACAAAGATTCTCATGGCCAAAAGCTTTTCTAAAAGGAAGGGCTGAGTCAAATGCTAGTAATATATAAAATAATGGTGCACCTGACAAACATCTTAGATCCAATCCAACATTGCATCTGGAATTTTGAAGCCCTAACTGCAATGTCACCCACAATATAGACACCAAAATCACCTATGAGCTTTTTATAATGCAAATTCCTCAGCCTATACTCAAGGATTAAAACTCCTGCACAGTTAAGGAACTCCCCAGCTGATTCTCATTTATGCTCAGCTCTGAGAACTTTTGATCTACACCAATCCAAACACACAGAAATTTAGAAAAATGAAAAAAAAAAAAAAGTGAGGCAGGTGTAGGCCAAAAAGCCCAAAGGTAAAATTCACATGACAAGAACCTTCATTCTTTCCTTTACAATGAATGGAAATCGGCCTGACACTGAGCCAGGTCCCCCGTAGGGGTAAGGAAGGTGAGGTGACAGTGAATGAATCTGGAGAGAACATGTTGTGGAACAGAGCAAACTCCTGTTTGCAGTGGTTACAACAGAGTTCAATAAAATTACCCAGATATTTGCTAGCACATTTCCATCATCTACCAAAGCAGAATTTTGCTTAAAAAATCATAATCCAGCCCCGCCCAGTTTCGCTTAGAGCACCGGCCCACATACCAAAGGGTCCTAGTCAAGGCTATGTACCTGGGTTTCGGGTTCCATCCCCCAAGTGGGAGGCAACCAATCGATGTGCCTCTCTCACATTGATGTTTCTCATTCTCTCTCCCTCCTTCCTTTCCACTTTATCTAAAAACCAGTGGAAAAATATATTCAGGTGAGGATTAACAACAACAAAAAAGTCACAATACAGTTGAAGAAATAAAATGGTGGTAGATTTCTGTAACCGATAGCACAAACATCTCGAAAACAAAATAACATTTAGTTCTGCCTGCTCCTTCAGAGTTCTACAACTGTTGATTAAATAGTTGTAGTAAGAACAGATAAAGGACCAAATACAGGATGTCCCAAAAAAATGTATGCACATATTAAATAATTATAAAGCCAGTGTTTATTAAAATACATGTGATTTTCAAAATATAATAGAATCTACAGACATTGTTTAATTGTTTTGTCAACACCTGTTTTCAAACTGATGTCGATTCTGGTCCAGGCACTGTGATAACTGGAAGCAATGGAATAGCAAACATCAAGAATCATTTTGTTCAGTAATTGTTCACATTCTCTTTAAATAGCTGCCCTCAATTCTTCAATTGTTGCTGGTTTTGTTCTATAAACTTTATCTTTTATGTATCCTCATAAAAATGTCTAGTGGATAAATTTTCTTTGTTCAAAACTTAGTCTGGCTTCAGCCATTATTTCAAATCAGTTAAACCTAAAAAGGAGTGAGAATTAAGTGAGTTATCAGCTGTTCAAATGTATACACATTTTTGGGGGGACACCCAGTATATGGTGACAGAAGATGATTTGACTTTGGATGGTGGTCATACAGTGCAATATACAGACCATGTATCATAAAAACATACACTTGAAACCTATATGATCTTAACCAATGAAACCCCAATAAATTTAATAAAAATAAAAAATAAACAGTTGTAATCAAAACTAATTTCATTTTATTTATTTACTTACTTATTTATTTATTTATTTATTTATTTATTTATTTATTTATTTATTGTACGTGCCTCTAGCAGGAACCCAACCTGGGACTCTCTGGTCCGCAGGCCGGTGCTCAACTGCTCAGCCAAACTGGCCAGGGCAAAACTAATTTCATTTTAAACAATGCTATCCATCTAGCAGAAGGAAGGTAGATTAAAGGAGAGAAAGAGACATATTATTGACAACACAGGCAAAAATAAAACTAAATACATTTTAACTATAAGTTGAACATAAGTAGGGTAAAGAAGTATCCAGTTAGTAAATTGCTACAAAAAGAGATGGGGGGGGGGCACACAAATTTATATACAATATAACTATCCTCAGCCCATGTAACTATTTTATATCAGATGAGATGTTACATGTTCCTATTGTGAATAAATGTTTAAGAACTGCCCTGCATATCCACTGCACTTAACTGCCTTTAAGTAGTCTGCAAAACTACAAGGGAAGCACAGTTCTGTTAGGCCTTCCATGTGAACAAATATAAGAACAGAGTGGTTCCATCTGCCCAAGGGTCCTGGGTAGCTCACCAATTCTACAAAAACCAACAAACAAAACACCAAACTGAATGCAAGTCAAAAATTAATTTTTATCGATCACAGGTTCTTCAAACACATTTAATGATCAGTTAACTACTTATAATGGTATCAAAAGGTAGTATACCTTATACTTTACAAATCTTGTAGAATTTCAGATGAAAATTCAGGAACTGACTCATTACTGTAGATGTCCATATAACTTTTTCTCACTAGCACACAAAAACTCTCCAGATTTTTAATCAATGGATGAATGACTAAACAAAATGCAGTATGTATCCATAGTGACATATTATTTAGCCATAAAAAGGAATGAAGTCCTGATTTATGCCACCATATAGATGAACCCGTAAAACAATATGCTAAAGGAAACAAGCTAGATGCAAATGATCACATATTCTATGACTCAATTTACATGAAATATCCAGAACAGGTAAATCCATAAAGTCAGAAAGCAGACTAGTGGTAACTAGGGGTTGGAGGAAGGGGGAACCGGCACATACTTCTTAGAGGACATGAGCTTTCCTTCTGGGATGATTTAGGCCTGGCCAATTTGGCTCAGGTATAGAGTGTCAGCTGGCGGACCAGGGAGTCATGGGTTTGATTTCTGTCAAGGCACGTACCCTGGTTGTGGTTGGGTCCCCGGCCCTGGTTGGGGTCGTGCAGGAGGCACCCAATCAATGTGTTTCTCTTACATTGATGTTTCTCTCTCTCTCTCTCTCTGCCCTCCCCCACCCTCCCCCTCTATCTGAGAATAAATGAAGAAATATCCTCAAGGATTTAAAATATATATATATATATGTATTTAATATATATATTTAATATATGTATATAAATATATACATACATATATATATTTCAGAACTAAGCAGAAGTGGTGATCACACAACTCTGTGAATGTACTAAATAACACTTAATTGTACACTTTAAAATGGAAAATTTTGTTATATTAAATTTAATTTTTTAATAAGGAAATTGAAAAAGAAAAAACTCACCTTAGTAAAACTAGAAAATATCATGAACAGCAGAAAAATTAATTAGATTAGGAATAAGGAAAATGTAATATAAGAACAGTTTCAACCAAGAATAATGATGAAGCAGCTATGGAAATTCAGAGGTACTGGAACACTTAATTTCCTCCTTTGAAATAAAAGTCAGCTGACTAGATTTTAGGAGCTGAATAAAAACCTTTTAAAGTTTCAAGATCTTGGGAATCTTGTCCAATCTCCTCGATCAGAGTCAGGAAGTAATGAAATGCAGAACTACTGTTTAAAATCCAGATGATCTCTTTTGCTATTGTACTAAGTAAGCTCTGAGCTAGATGGATTTTGTGAGACCTAAGACCAAAATATTTTGTTTCTTGGGTCTTACACCTTTCAGCTTTAGGAAATGGTTATAAAATGAAAAAAAAAAGAGAGAGAGAGAGAGAGAGGGAGAGCGTGATTTACTGCCTCCGAGAAGGTAAAGCAGCTTTGTGAGGGTCCAGGCTGTCTTATTCGTAGCCTCCATGACACCTGTAATAATTACTGGCACATAGCAGGCACTCTCACATTTTAAAATAAACATAAAAAATTTTAAATACTGGAACTCACCATTTAAGACCTATAATATGTAGTAAAAATATGACTCTTATGATTCTCCAACAGTGAACAATATTTTTTTGTCATTTAACAGTCTCTTAGCCCTTTAACCCTCCCTCCAATTGCCTTTTCCTTTTTAATGTAGCTTCATTAATTATGAAAAGATTAACCAGCTGGCAATGCTTAAGGTAGCAATCCATATTAAAATTCTGTAATAAAACATCCATTAAGTTTAGAAAGTCACTTTAAGCCAGTGGTGCTTTCTTAATGTAACTCCCTTTCAAACAGAAGTCCCCCACCCCCCCCTACAATAGGGATTTAGAGGAAACATGGCTTGTGTCCTCCTATTTTTTAAATTTTTTTTAATTATTATTATTGATTTTTTTTTTTTTTTTAGAGAGAGAGAGAAGGGAGAGACAGAAACATCTATGTGAGAGACATACATCCATTGGCTGCCTTCTGCAACCCTGGCATGGGCCCTGATCAGGAATCTAAGGGGACCTCTCAGTCCATGGGATGATGCTCAATCCACTGAGCCACACCAGCCAGGCAGTATGTCCTTTTTTTTTAAATTTACATAATGACAGATGATTACTAGAATCCGTGGGGTGATCACATTGTAAGTTATAAAAATGTTATCACTATATTATAGATCAAAACTAGTATAACCAATATAAGATTCTATACCAACTATACTTAAAAAAAAATTTAAAAACCCCATTTGTGGGTGATTTTGAAAAGTCCTCAGGTTGAGAATAACTGCACTGAATTTTATAATTTCTCTCTTTTTAAGTTTTTTTTATTTATTGACTTGTAGAGAGAGGGAGAGTGAAAGTGAGAGAAAGATATCGATTTGTTGTTCTACCCATTCTTATGTATTCATTAGTTGATTCTTGTATGTACTCTGACCGTGGGGATGGGATAGAATCCAAAACCTCGGCCTATGGAACAATGCTCTAACTGACTGAGCAACACAACTAGGGCTAAACTTTTTTATTTCTTACAATCAAGAAATGCTAGTTTTTAATGTGTTGAGAAAACATTACACAGAATTTGTGAAACAAACCTTCTAACAACTGTATAAAATTGAAGAAGAAAAAAAAAAGTGACTTAATTAGTAAACAGAACTCAAGACTGGGCAGCCTTTAAAAGTGAATGATATGCCCAAAGCCTGACACTGACTCTACCAATTTCATGTTGAATGGCCTAAGTTATTAACTTTCCTTTTCTAAGTTAAATGAAAATCCCTTGGTACTCTGCAATACCCTGTGTGAAGTCATATGCTACTTAATGATGGGAACACGTTCTGAGAAACACATCATTAGGCAATTCTGTCCTTGGGTGAACATCAAAGTGCACTTACACAAAACTAGATGAAATGGCCCACTACACACCTAGGCTACGTGGTATAACCTATTACCCCTAGGCTACAAGCCTGTACAGCATGTTACAGTACAAAACAAATCAAGCACAGGAGAAAATGATACAATCAAGAGATGAAGTGAACACAAGATATATGAGGCTGCTACAGGCGAAGGAAAACAGGCATACTGTTTTACAGCAAGCTTTTTTAAAAATAAGTTAAAAGACCACAAACTCTTAACAATGATAAAAAGTGTAGGATAGTAAACACATAGATCAGTAACAGTTGGTTCTTATCATTATCAAGTATTATGTACTTAAGATACATAAAGCCAATCCTTGAACATGGATTTGAACTGTAAGGATCCTCTTTCATACAGATTTTTTTTTTCAGTACAGTCGGTCCTTCACATCTGGATATTCAACTAACTGTGGACAGAAGCAGTATATTTGATCCACAGTTGGAAATCTGTGGTTGGGAGGCCGCAGTTGGGAATGCAAAACACTGTTTTCCATCAGTGGTTGGTGGAACCTACAGATGGGAAAGCTGACTGTGGAAGTCAAGATTTATACCTAGATTTTCAACTGTGCAGGAACCAGAGCCCCTAGGCCCGGTTGTTCAGTGTCAACCATACGTACTCTACTTCTACAACACTGGCAGTACAGGTCTGTTCACACCAGCATCACCTCAAACATGTCAGTATTACCTGGCACTACGACATCACTAGGAAATAGAAAAATTTTCAGCTCCATCCTACTCTTCGGGAACATAGGTCTGTAGTTGACCCATGCATCATTATGTAACAGTCATGCTTCCAAAAACTTGGAAAAAAGTGACAGGATACCACTAATCCCGAAAGGTGATCAAGGGTCCAAGGGGTATGAAATCTGTTGGCATCAACCTCTGTATTTTCTTTGTAAAATTGGGAAAGATAGATAAAAGGATCTAGCCTTTGGACTGTAAGAAACAAATGTGTCTATGAAACCACTTGGCACAGTGCCTAGTAAGCAATCTAATAGTATCTAGTATCAGCGTATCCGTATATTTTTTTATTAAATAAAAAGAAACAATGGAAAGGTTCTGTCCATTGGAGAGTGGTTCTGTATTGTATGAAAACATTTTAAAGGTAGAGGATGAAAACACACACACATACAATCACTGCTGGGTATCAATATCATATCGTCAACCCCTCCCTGACATGAATTAGATCTAGGGTCACTCATCCTCACATATGGTAGAAACTGTGAGGTCAGGTAATAAATCGGGTATGAGAAAAAGAACAAACAGCACATTTATCAATAACACCCAACACCAGTGCGCTGGATAGTTTTAAAAATAAAACTGCCTCCAGTTTAAGAGACACTAAAACTTTACTACAAGTGAGCCAAACGGCCCTCCACAGAGTTCCAATACAACATCAACTCCATCCCGGCCTCTTTGGAGCGCTGAGCCCACATTTCCGACTGCGAGCCCGAGCCCCAGCGTCGAGCGCGCGCCCAGGTGGCAGCCCGGGCGCCGAGCCCAGAGCCAGGTGCAGGCACCGCCCCGTCCTCCGCCGAGTCCGGGAGGAAACACCTGGAAGGCATGACCGCGCCAGGGCAACGGCCCGCACCCCGGCCCACCGTACCCTGGCCCCCTGCTCCTGCCCTTTCCCTCCCCGTTCCCGGGACGCGCCACCCGGACCACAGCGCGCCCCCCGGCGCGGGTGAGCGGAGGATGAAGGTGAAGGGGGGTGTCCGACTTCCCCCAACCTCCCTCCATACTCCCCTCCCTGGGCCGCGGCTCCGTCCGCCTCCCCGACCGTCTCACCGGCCTCCCGCCCTCCTCTCCGCCAAGCTCGCCCGCCTTCGGCCTCCCCGCAGTCAATCTGGCCGGAGGCCGACGGGAGCAGCCGCTGCCGTCTCCCACTCGCTCCTCCGCTTCCTCCCGAGCTCCGCAGGCTTCCCCTCACCCCTGCGAGTGGCCAGAAGGAAGCCAGCTCGCCGCTGGGCCTCCTCCCCCGCTTCCCCGCCGCGACCAATGGGCCCCCGTCACCGGGAACCCGAGCCCGCCCCCTGGCGGTGGAGGACCGAGCGGCACGACAGCAGGCCTGAGAGATGGGCCGAGAGCGCGGAGGTGTCTGGGGTTTGGTCTTTCGCCCTGGTCTGGCGCTGCGCAATCTGCGCTTGCCACGTGGAGCCAGGGCGGCACCGCTGGCGCCTGGTTGCACTCAGAAGGATAAAGTGTGTCACGCCCTCCTTCCCTGCTCACACTCACTTTCATATCCTGACCTGAGAGCAGAAATTTTAAAATAACCAGTCCCATTCTAGAGGTCCGATGGTTAGGATGGTCATGTCAACCTAGCACATTAGTCATTTTCCTTTTGACTCCTTAAAAGCTAGGTAACTGATCATGAAAATACCACCTGGCTGCACTACTAGAACGCTGGTAACCTTAAATGTTTCACCCAAGGAGAAAGTAGTGGGCTTTTACACCTTATTTTGTTTAGATTATTTAGCAATACAACAGTTAGAAATATTTTTCTCCTCTATGCATAATCTTTCCACATAACTAGGTAATCTATCCAAACCCAACTATACAAAACCTGACCAGAAAATACAAAATTGTTTTATAATTTATATCCATATTGCAGAAAAATTAATAACTATTAGCTCTCATTATTAACTATTATTAAGTAGAATTTCAGGACAATATGTGGTTGTAGAAATTAAGTTGCATTAAAGAAATAATAGGGTTTGACCATAGTAATGTCAACATAAGAAATGTTCAAACCTGTGAAGAATTTTTGTGAGTTTATTATGCTAACCCTATGGCAGGGATTGCAGGAAATGAAAGGGGCGGGAGAGAATAATAGAATATTAATCATAATGGGGTGCTAGCCATAATTATAAGAAATGCTGAACATCCCCAGTCTGTTAATCATGATTGCTTTGTTCTGATTAAAGAAAGCCCATTCTGACCTGACTGGGAGTTTACCTCAGGAATGCTGTCCTTTCTCCTTACCTTAGAACTGCCCTCTGTGCCTGCCCCCCTCCACCCCATCATGGAAAGACTAACAACCCTGGAGTCTAGGCATAGGTGCCCTGGAGATAGCTCACATTCCCTAGCTCCCATTACTTCCCCATACTTATAATCTGTAACTGTTTTACCCCTTGATATTCCCTTTGCCTACTTTTCCATGTAATACCCGATATAAGTGACCTGGCCATGGAGGGTGTGCAGAGCAGATTTTAGGGAATGACTCACTGCTCTCCCATACTGCCGGCAATAGTGGAATAAACACTCATATAAGATTCAACCTTGTCTTTGCTAAATTGGCCCAAGTATTGATAGGCAGCCCAGACTCATGTGTTGTCCAGTTTCAGAATTTCCCATCTGCTGCTGAGAGTTTTTTTTTTAAATCTTTGGGAACCTCACTGCTCTCCCTTTCAATGTATCAGCAGCCCAAACACTTAACTAATGAAAATAACAACAAACAGGTATAGGCGTTCTCATTTGTCTCTTGCGTTCTATTCTGTTAGAGAGTTCTCTGCGAGTTCTTGTCTATAATGTAGCTTTGGTTTTGAATATTCTTTGCTTGCTCTCCTATCTGTTAGGGATTTGGTTTGCCCTTTGCTGTTTTATGAACACAGGGAATCCTCTGTCTTTGCTGTGCCGGTTGCTGTGAGATAAGAATCTGAAGCTAGTGTCCCAGTCATTGATTTACTTTTTCTTTTTTTATGTTTTTATTGACTTTTTTAGAGAGAGGAAGGTATAAATAGAAACATCGATGTGAGAGAGAAGCATCGATTGGCTGCCTCCTGCACGCTTCCTACTGAGGACCGAGCCCACAATCTGGGCATGTACCCTGACCGAGAATTGAACTGGGACCTCTCAGTCCATGGGACTATGCTCAAGACACTAAGCTACACCAGCTGGGCTCATTTCTTTACTTTAGATGTTGTTCCTGTTTGTATTTTGAGATAGGATAGAATCTCTTTTTTTAATAAAAAAATTGTTTTTTTCTATTGATTTTTAGAGAGAGGAAGGGAGAGGGAGAGAGAGATAGAAACATCAATGAAAGAGAATATCAATTGGCCACCTCCAGCATGTCCCCCCTGGGGATTGGGCCCACAACCTGGGCATGTGCCCTGACCAGGACTTGAACCGGCAACCCCTTGGTGCATGGGTCAACACTCAACCACTGAGCACACCAGCCGGGCTAGAATCTCTTCTTATGTGCAAGATTTCATGTTGTTACATAATAAAAATTCTACTCAGAAAGAGTAGAATGATGGTTCAAAGAGGGCAAAAGGTCTCACTCCTCTCTCAGAGAGTAAAAGAAAAATGTCATGAAATGAGTCTTTTTAAACATTCTAGATCCTCCTCCTGGAGGCCTGGGAGCTACAGGAGTCCTGGGGACAATGGGGAAATTTATATCACCCCAAAACCCTGTGTAGGCTGTGGAAGCAGCAGGGGCCAGTGCCCCACCTCCATGTGATGGGGAAAAAAAATGCTTTTTTTAAATTCAAGGCACTGGAGGCCTGGGAGCTTCTGCAGTCCCAGGAAAAAGCTTCAAGGCCTGCTCTCAACCCCCACCCCCACCCCTCTTCTCCAGCACCCTAGAAGTAGCCAAGGAAAAACTAGACAATTATACAGCTCACTTTTGAGCACACTAAAGGAATACAGTAAGTACCAGGAATCCAAATGGGTAATATAAGTTTAATTGATGTCTTTTAAAGTTATTAACATAAAATACAGGTCTGTTTTGCCTTGGTTTGCAGGAATAAGTTCATGTTATTTTTCTCTGTTACAAATTCGTCAAGAAATAGATTGGGTAATTGACTATTTTTAAGAAATAATAAGTAAATGTAACTAAAAGAAAGGTTTTTGATAAAGCTTTTCAGTATAATTATATATATCTAAACAATTTTCTAGTCTTTGGTAACTTAAGCTTTGGAGGTTTACTGGGTTAAATGATTAAAATGTTAAATATCTGGGTATTTTTAAAATAATAGGGGACTAAAATGTTAATTAATTTGAATTTACGTTCTTTTGACTTTTTATTACAGAGAAGCTAGAGGATGGATTTAGATCTGTTAATAAATATATAATTTATTTTAAAAATGTCTCTTGAAAATTTGAATGTATTTGCCAGTCTGAGGAATGTTAATTACTTCACACACACACACACACACACACACATGCAAGATCAAGGTTTCTAAGAGTTAAAAGTTCAAATTAATTGGAAAGAAACAGTATAATTTTAGTGATAGAAGGTATAAGATATGGAGATTTTTTTTTGAAAGAAAGAAAGTTGTTCTGAAATTGGTTATTTCTGAATGGGTAAAAAAGTTTTGTAAAAATTGTAGAAAGGTTTGTGAAAAGAAGTCTTGAAAGGAATCATAAGTAAGCTAAATAATGAATTGAATTAGATAAATGAATCTAAAATGAACAAAAATAGAATTTGATTGGTCATTTTCAAGTCTGTTAAAAGGAAGAAAGGCTTTCCTGTGTTTGTCTAGGAAGCAAAGGTTCTGTATTATTGAAATAGTTGTATGTTGTGTTATGTTAATCAGATACTTGATTACTTAAAAACCCATCTTCTTAATCATAAGAAATGGAGTTTCCGTAACCTATGTTTGTGTTTAATATGTTTTGTTGTCACTTTGAATGAATACATCAATACTGTTTCATAATAATAATAATATATAGCCTTTTGGTGAAATATGTTTGACAATTTTCTTTCCAGGGTTTGAATTTTAAGAAACTTTTTCTTGACCTAGAATGAGCTTTAGGTCATTTCAATAGACCCTGGAATGCCTCAACAATTTGTTTTCTCTCGATATGAAGAAAAAATTTTATGCTTAAGTTACATAGAAAGTTTTGTCAAATAAAGAAATGATAACTATATTTTACTTATATATGCATATTATTAATGGATGTTCTGTAGATTATTTAAAAATCACCATAGTCTACAAATTTTAATATATATATTTTTCACAACTCTGTTATTCTGGAATGTTGCATTTTACAAAAGGGACAGGATTCTGTGTCAATTACATTGTAATTAAATCTATAACCTGTCATTTTAAGTTTCCTTTTTTCATTTACAGTCACTATTCTACTCTGATGCATTTGCAAAGATGTTACATCTTCTGAAAGGTCCATGGAAAGGACTCAGACTTCTTTTAAATTACATATCTCTGAGAATAAATTCTCAGATAATACCCTTGAACTGGATGGAAACTACTAGAACTCTGGGGAACATTTGAATGTATGGAAATACTTGCCAAAAAAATAAATAAATAACAGAAACAGAATTTTATTATGGGTTGAATGAACTGAAAATAGTTACAGTTTTTGTAATTTTTTAGGTATTGCTGATTTTTTATCTTTTTGTTTTCCAGAAATAAGAAAACTTGTTTCTTTTCTTAAAGCAATTTAGTAAATTATACTTTTATAAGCAATATTGAGGCATTTATATTTTTCTCCCTATCTGATCCCTCCAGAAGTTGGCTCTTTAACAGGATGGTACTCTTAGGGACAGAAAAATTATGTCTCAAAGAAAACCACAACGCCCAATCATGGGTATTGAACTCCAGTGCAGTTAACTGTCTTCAAAGTTTTGTTTTCAAGACTGTGTCTGTATAAGCTATGCTTGTGTCAATAACCAATGACATCACCAGAGATGTTATAACTGCATACAATCTGTCAGACTGTCACTGTATAATTTCATTTCAGCGGAAACCTTACATCTGGAAACCTTCTCAACTGGTTTATGATTTAATGTATACATTAACCTTTATGTTTTGTGTTCTTCTGTTTTATATAATATATGCATATGGCCCTGTTTACCTAATTGCTTACTTACACAATATAGGCCTCATTATAGTAGTCGTCTGCATCACTATCTCCTGAAATGTGAGACTCAGTGGTTTGAACTTATGATTGAGTCAGTGAAACATGGATAGTCTACTGG